AAAGTATTTATACAGAATCCAAATGATTAAAATCTGTGTTTTACGCACAGATACATATCTATAAAACTAATACGTAACTCATAGCATGCTGCAACATGTACGATAAATTACTCTTATTTATGTATGTTAGAATAAATATGCATAATTATATATAATAATATCGTTGGCTAACAGTAAAATAAGTAAGTCATTTAAATAATAAACAAAACTTTTTAAGTGAAATTTAACTAAAAAAAATCTTACAAATTTAAGTTGTGTAAGCAAACTAAAAAATAATAAATGAACACATTTTTTGTAAATTTGGTAGTTAATACTTATAATATTTTTGATTTACAAAATTCGATATTAATATAAATGAAAGAAAAATTCAAATTAATTATATTTTTGATAAAAATAAACTCAATATTTAAAATCCATAGAAAATAAATAAAATATGTAGGTAAGTTATAGATAGGTAAATATTTTATATACATTTTTCTAATTAAAATGCGTTTAATAATAGCAAATAAAATAATTTTAAATGTTCGATAAACATAACTTACATTCTAATGTTAGATTCAAATGTTCGTTGAATTACTGTAAAATTATAAAAAAAAAAAAAATACAATATTTTTATCGACTTCTATAGCATAGTTACAGCGAGAGCAATCGAATACGGGTAGTTAGTTGCTTCTAGGTGATTAAATATAATATGTACGAGTAAATCACTCCACTCCGATGAATCGACAACAGTGTATGAGTGATTAGAATTTCGTTTCGAGCTGGAAGTATAAAATATTCATAAATTATCAGTTGGCATTGATTGAGGGTGAATTATTCTTCTCGAGGAACACGAAGATATGGTGTTACCTTCGACTCCGAGTGCAACCACACCACTGTGGCTAGTTTTAGATCGATAAGATATATATAATATACATTATTTACTTATTTATGTTAATAAGAATCTTCAACCTTATTTTCTGATTATCTATTGTTCTTAAGAACCATTTATTTATTATTATTGTTTTTAGACCAATATACTGATTCATAAGAAAACGTACGCAACACATTTATATCATTATAATTAGTTGATTGAATCATCGGATCAAAAATATTCTTTTGAAGTCCAATCAGATTGAATGTTAATAGTTAATGTGTTGTACAGTAAAGTTATAAAGTTACTGAAATATAAGATACTACACTATATGTGTACATATAGCCTCTTTGGTCAATACTCAAATTTCAATACTTTCTTTAATCTTGTATGTGCAATTTACTGATCTCCGAATAATGTTGGACACGAATACATGACCCGTTTTTTTATGTGTACAATGTGATCACATGTATATGTATGTAAAAAAAAAAAAACATATAATTATAAAAAAATTAGTAATGCGTGCTGCCGCCGCCCTGGACTACTGACAAAAGAACAGATCGTGACTAGATGCTTCATTACTATCTAGATTGTGTACAGTTACTCATAAAGCACACAGGTGCAAGGTAGGCTGCTGGGAATTGGTTATTTATCTCGGGAACCTCCTACCAACCACATTGACTTATAATTATATTATATATTATTATGTTGTCTATGGGGAGGTAGAAGGAGGTGTCAGTCGTTAGAAAATACTGGTTTTCACTATAAAGAAAAAAACACCGTTTCTACTTTAATGAAATATATTTAGTATTTTACTCAAAAAAATTACAAAGGAGCAAGCTGTCAAAACCGAAGCAAATTTTTCAAGAATGGTCAAGCAGACCGGAAAACGGATATGGTCCGTCAAATATTTGGAGCTCCTCGTCATGAGAATAAAACAATTATAAACACACTAATCAATAGACAATAGTATCTATTTTTTGTTCAATTTTACAAATAAAACAAAGCGTTTTGGACAGTCCATTATCGAAATTATAGTTATAAACACTGAATTTGTTGGTATCAACCATTAATATAATAATGTATATAAAATAATTTTTTCAGTCTACAGAAATCTTTGTCTTAACCTCCATTACTAATTAACTAAGATTTCCTGTTAAAAGTAAGCAAATGTTAAGTAACTTGGTTTTCTTATACCACGTAAATATATTTTTTATTTCGGTACTTTATCCCACATAAACGTTATAATGTACATAGTATATAGTCCGTAAATGAACCGTATAAACCGGCCTTAATTTTATTAAATATTCAAAAAAAAAACTCAATTAAAAATTACCTCACAAAAAAATGCTTTTCAATGTAACTTACTATAACTCAGTTGTTCTATTTAAAAAACCTTTAAATTTTCAATACTACAACTCAGCCCAAATATAGAGTATAATTTTGTGATCGTCAATTTGTAGTTTATTTGTTAAAAATAATAAGAATATATACGATCATTTATATGGTTATATTTATTATAACAGTTATATTTACATAGTTTTTATATTTAAATGCACTCAATAAGAAATATAACCTGACCAAGAAAAAAAATGCTGAAATGGTTGCAGATCAAAAATGGTATTAAAATAAGAATGACGTACTATACAATTAAAACTACCAATATATCAAAAAATAAAAGGTTTAAATTAAACTAAAAAAAAATAACCAACAACAATAATATTACCATTCAAATTTCATTTTGGAATTCTTGGCATGACATACAAAATGACATAAAAGACTATTTTTTGATCATCTATATAACTGTATACGCGTATTATAAAGTAACATTATATATCTATAGAGTGTAACCTACACGTTGATGATAAATTTGTATACGCATTTTAACGAGACATAGGGAGTAGTAAGTATAAAAGGTAGGTACTCTGAACTCTGGTGATTGTTCCTAATAAACGACAAATTATATAACCAATATTTTTTTGTGATAATCAATTTAATTTATCAAATTCAATATAATTTAATTTAAAAATGGTATTAATAAACAATTATTGGTTTAAGTGTAAGTAAGCGTTAATTCAGGCACGTCGTCAAGGGGGGGGGGGCTTAGGGTTAGGTAAGAAAAATCAGAGGCCCCGAACTAGTCCCCTTGATTTTGATTTTTATGATTTTTAAATATTACAATGTTTAGTTGTCCCAAACCGGCTAAATTCTGAATATATATTCCATATGGGCGATTGTAAACTCCGTTAGAATATCGGTTAAGATAAAATGATAATAAAAGATTTAATGTAAACTCCGCCAGTTTTTTTTCTTACCTGCAATGGGTATATGTAAACTCCAGTTTTTTTTTTGTTTACCTGCTCAGTGCTCATATTTCCACGTGCCTTCTCACATTAAATACGTTGACATCTATTGCGATGATGTATATCGAAATTGATAAAACTATTGTCATGGTTCAATTCATTTCATGGTGGATATATATCCATATTGATTCATTAATTAATAATTTTATCTTCATATTAACTGAAATTAGTATTTTCAATGATGATACCGTAGGTATCGTATACGTAAAGTGTACTTTGACGAACATAATCATTCGTAGTCTGCGTGTCTCCATGTATATTTTATATTGAACAATATATGTCGCAACAAAGTACTAATATAAAATTAATTACTGGTCAACGAGGCAATTTATTGGTTTTATTTAACAACTACAAATATAACCAAAATATAAAATATGCGTCTGGTGAAATAAAATGGAAGTATGATATTATATAATATTATAATAATACTTATTATGTATTACTTTTAATAATATATAATATTAATTTTATACTACTACTCGATTTTCTTCACTGGCGGAGTTTACATGCGCCCAATCCATATAATTTATGATCGTATAGCAAAAATTAAATTCTGAGATTCTATTTTATAAATATTCGTCACTTGACAATTTGAGATAAGACAATAATAAGTGTATTAATATATTGAAAACTAGGAATTCCAAATACGGATATCGAACGCACATTTGATAAACACTACAGAAAGGGGCCAAAAAATCTTGGCCCCCTTATAGAAATATGTCTGGTTACGTGCCTGCATTAACTACAACTCTATAATAGTCGAGTCTTAAAGAAATTTTATACCAATAAAATATGTAATTTTAAAATATTTAATAATGAGTTATAGAAATATAACTAAATACTATTTACTAAATATGATAATTTTATACACAAAACCATTTCAGTAGTATAGAAGCATTTACTCGTATGTTGTAAATTATAATTTATTATATAATGAAATATTGAAATAAGCATATATGAAAAACTAATTTTAACTTTAATTTCAGAATGTAATCCTACAAAAAATTGAGTTTAATATTAACTTCATATATAGAAATTCATTAAACAAATTTACAGATCAATAGTAGAAAGTATTATAATTTTGAAAATATTCTTTAGATTTTAATACATTTTTTTTTTTTTATATTAAATCTTTACTAAATTAATGAAATGACCGTTGGGTGCTACTTATGGTACTTAATTTTAACGTTTTTTTTTGCCATTGATTTTTTCTTCCGTGACTGATTCGAGCCGGTGATTTATTTTAGAATTGTTCAATCATAGGGAAAGCCAATACTAAATTAATAACTATGGAGGTTCTACATGGGTATCATTAACTGATGGACAAACACATCCCAATCATATTAAAAATGATAACCATTATTTAGTTCCACTAAATGCTTACCTAATAAAATGTTCATATCTGCATAATAATTGTATATCTTTTGAATACTTTGACAAACCATTATTTTTTTATGTCAGTACATAATGTTTTTAGTTTTTTACACAACACAAGTTTATCACTAGATACATTATATGAACATTGCATTTAGTAGTTACATTATGTTGACAATATATCAAACTGTAGTTAAATAACATTACTCTAACAGCAACAAGTAGACACAGTTTTTTTTGTAGTTTTTTCCTCGTCTAAAAAGTTCAATTATAATACTAATACCATTTTAAACATATTATTTATAAGTTATTTTATTATATTATTTAGACAATGAATATTATAATTCATTATTATAACCACTACTTAAAAATTCTAAAAATCTAATTTAAATTTTCATATATTTCCTTACCTTGACTTCCAACATATCCTAACCATATCGAAGTTAATACTCCAACTAGTAGGCATCCTATGGTCTTTGTAAGCATTCTATACGTTGTTGCAGTAGTAACATTCCTGTATCTACCTAAAAAAAATAACTCTGTATAAGGTAAAATTCTTTTATAATAATTATATTATTACGCAGCTACTTGAAAAAATTATTTTAAGCCTATCAGTTCATAACTCAAATTAAAAACACAATGTTCATTTCAATAAGTTTATCAAATTATTATTTATTTTAAGGTAATTTTTTTCAATCGATCTACGACACATAAGTATTATAATATATAATGTTTTTAAATAATAATTGCATAGATAACCTAGATTTTTTTTCAGTAATACAATCGTGTACACAAAATATATTAATTTAAGATGATTCTGATGATTCTCTACGTAATTTGTGACTCGTGCCTGGTATTACACACTTCAATTGCACCGTTTAAGATGCGAATACTCTTATAACTAAAGTCGATAAATGATTGCTTTTATCAAACAACATTGACATCAACATCAATGATGTTCATATACTTTTTTACATGTGTGACTCATAACGGCCGTTCTTTTATGTACTATAATAATAATATTTTATAGTCAATAGTTTTATATAAAAATCAAAAAGTCAATTGAACTCCTGTTTTTTTTTTAAATATTTTCATTGTCAAAGCAATTTTAAAAAAAAAAAAAGTAAAAAAATACGAATTTTCTTATTTATTAGTATTATAGTGTAATGAACTAATGACCCATAAATCAAATCATTTCAACTTTGAAATCGTCTCGTGTACCTACACTCGTCAATGTCCAACATTAACGGTTGTATTTTCACGCAATATTTTACACGTGTTTATTTGTAACCTCTAACCTTACAAATTAGGTCAACATTTTACAAAACACATAAGAAGATATAAAATAACCACCCGAAAACGTTGTTTATTATGTTAGGTGGTATAAAAATATTTTCATTAAAAGAATATTCGTAGCATATCACACTCAACAATGTTCGTATAGCCTTAACCACAATAACGGATTACACAATTATTTTGTAGTTTAATGCTATAACTGTAGAGTGGAATACACATGTACACTTATTACGATGCGGTGTCTTATGAAAATAATTATTATTGTCACACTACCACACATAATTACGCTTCTCTTGTTTTGCGGTACCTACAACTGAGTTTTTAAATTAAAAACTAGTACAGTAATTGGCTAAACGCATCATTTTCATAACAATTAGGTACCAAAAATAATTTATAAGAGTAAAAAACAATGTCTAAGAGATAACATTTTCACGTGATTTTAACATGTTTATAAGTTGATAGATGAAAAGTGGATCTCACTCATCTGAAAAAATCCCTAACAATTTTACAGAGTATGAATCAAATAATACGTAATCTAGGAATATCTTTGTATGAAGATTATTTTTTACTAGAACTATTAGGTAGTTACTATTATTTAATATTACTTATTATTATTATCGTTAATCAATATATTTTTGAAATACTCTAAGAATACTTTAGAAAGCTCAAAATATTTATTTTCACAGTTAAGTACGAAATACCATCATATGTATACCTATTTTGATCTTTAGTGATTGACTCTCAGACATTTACTTTAATAACTACTTCAATTATCTACCTATGTATGATAAGATTAATACCGATTTCAAACATTGTAAATAAAAAATTGAATAACAATTTCAAGGATAAATAAAATTAAAATTAAAATTAATGATTGAATATAAAATGTATGAAATTTCGAAGTTAAACTTTTAACTTTGATAAAATTGATATTTCTACAGCCATAAATTACCAGAAAAGCTATTTTTTGTTACATTTTCAAGTTATCAATTAGGTTTATGAGGTTTTAGAGCATGTCTCTACCGAAAATTATGATCATAAGAACATTATAAAGTATATAAAATCTATAAAAAAGGCACTTGTGGTAAATTTTATATCCAACTCTGTTCTCAAAATATAAATTATTATAAGTATGTTTTTTACACATCGTTAACACTTACTATAATATAAATAAAATGTATCAATAATTGTAAAACATCAATAGAATAATTCCAAAATTCAGAATAATTAGTATCATTGTAGTATCATCCGGTCATTTCAGCAGTAATAAATTTAATATTCAATTTACAATGTATATTATATGTATACGTCTTTATCAATTTAAAAATTTTTGAAGTCTCGGCCCTTAGTAATAAATTTCATACGTTTTTTTTAAATGTTTCGTTGTACGTAATATTTTTAAATTCAACAATGTTTACAACTAGTCTAGTTTTTTTATTTTTTGTACAAAAACGAGAGCAATTAAATGCTTCGATTGTTATATTGTTATGATGATGACTCCGTAGAACAAATTATTTCTACAGTACCTGCACTATATCATCATAAAATCAGACCGTATTTACTTATGTACTATTTTAAACAGACATTTCCTAACATGATTAAACTAAAATATAAATATGTCTTGAGCTTATTTTATACCACTATTTAGATGTGATTTTCAAAACTACATCATGTACAAATATTATATTAAACGAGTACTTAATTTTAAAATGATTGTAATATATTTTGATAAAAGTATAGATAAAATATTTATAATAAAAAAATAAAAGTATTAGTACCTCCTAAATACATAACCAGTGCCATCGTAAGCGAGTAGAAAACTTAGACAATTGCCTAGGGCCTAACACTTACTCGGGGGCACACAATTTGTTAATTTAGAATAGTTAAATATTTTTAGATGTAAGCGATTTTACTATTTTTTCCTAAAACCTCGCAAAAGCTTGCAACGGCACTGTATATAATAAATATATTATTTAAAAAGTAAAAGTAATAACTGTAAAAAAATTTAAAATGTTTCCTATCGTTAAAATCTAATAAAAACTTAATATTAAAATATTATATTTATAAATTATGTTTATACTGCTTGTGGTAAGTATGGTATAATAAGTATATATAATATCATAATATTATTAATTGGAAGAACTTTCGAAAAAAATATTTTTAATTTTATTAATTTCTATCTGAAAAAAAAGTTATTGTTAATTAATTAACGCATTTTATGCCTCACTCAATGTTCTAATTTTTAGTTGTATTTTAAATAAATATAAATTATTCATAAATCCTCTTGTTGTATCATACATGTAAGTATTGGGTTGATGACGTATTTCGAACAAAAATTAATGCTTTAAACATCTATGTATCCATAAAATCTTATGAAAATGTATTCTCACATATTGCATTATATGATGTGTATACCATATATACAACGGAATCAGATTCAGGATCAAGAGAAGAAATCAAATGATTACTATTAATGCGCAATGCCGTAAAAATGATACACTTACAATGGGTCCACCCATCAACAATAGTAATCAAGAGTCTGTAATTTAATAATAATACCAACAGGCAACAATATACTCGTATAGGCGAAAAATACTCCCTTTCACCAGATTTGCCTTTTGTATTGTATATTACAATGAAAAAAAATATAGTCTAATGAGCATTACTAACTTTATAATCAACAGGTTAAGTGTAAACATTTGTAAATCGTGCTCTAAATATTTTCACAGATAACGTTCATGTATGAAGGAAAAAATGACTGATGAATTAGTAGTGCAATGATAATTTCTTATCTTAATCATTTTCACATTCAAACTATACATTTTTTAAACTATAAGAAATTATGATTTACAGTGATTTTTAAATTTATTAACACCCATCCAACTAACCAGCTCTATTGCTTTTAAAACAACTATATCTCTCATTTTTATACTTTCCATATCTGGAGATAAGAAGTTTAATATGGATAAAATATTTCAATATGGTATAGCATAGTTAACTTTTTTTTTCAATATCAAGTTTTTAGAATGAATGTTTATTTTGAAAAGCTATTCATAAGCGTTTTTATTTCTCAAAAATTTATGAGGAACATGAGAAGGCCATAATCTACAAAAATATTGTACGTCGCTGTTAAACTTAAATCTATAATTTATGAGTGTTGTACATTTCTAAATTACAAAATTATATTTTGTCTTAAACGATTTTTCTATAAATTTTTCGAAAAACTATGATTGAAAACTTTAAAAACGACCTTCTAAGTAATTAATATCTGTGACCAATTAGTTTTAGTTGAATAATAATATATTCTTTATATATACATGTTTAATGTTTACTAATAGAAACAGAATAATTAACATAACTATTATAAACTATAAATTACGTTTATGAATACAGATTATCTACATTAATTCAATAATCATGACTATAAAATATATTTATAAACGAATACCTTTTTAAATCGTTTTCATGAATATTTTTCATTGTAATTTACAAACTGGTTACGCCTAATAAAACACAACACATAAAAATATATTTTAATGAAAACTTCAACGTTTATTACAAATTCTAATGTACATCGGATATACTATATCAGTGCTTCCCAAACTTTTTCGACTTAAAGTGCCCTTTTTGATCCAAGGTTTTTTCAGAACGCCTTTCTCTAAGTGATAGCATGACTAATCATAAGAAAAATGTTAGACCCGATAGTATTACATGACGGCGCGGCGCCCTTATACATACATCGTGGCGCACTAGGGCGCCGTGACGCACACTTTGGGAACCTATGTACTATATCTATTACTAACAAATATAAAAATTACAAAATTTAGGGATTTATTTAATAATCTGACACGTTTATAGTTACAAAAAGTGTTAAAATATGTCAAATATATTAATTTTTAGGGTTAACAATAATGATCATGATTTATAAGATAAAAATGTATTTTTATTTAATTTTTAATACTGATCAAACTAATTTTTATTAATCAAAGAAATCTTTTAAAATTGGTGTTTAGATTTTCTGGAACCAACTTAAGTGCAAAAGTTACTTAGTTTCTTAGTTATTTATAGTAATTTATTACGTAGGTTAGGTGTATTAGTTTTATAAGAGCATCAAAATGAAAATCAAATGTTTCAAAACCTAGATCTGGAAATTAAACTATATATAATATTAAATACGAAAATTGTTATACTAATCTAATATTGTTATAAATAGGTTTAATTATTTCAAGCTGTAGTTAGATTAAACAATTTCAATCAATAGGGGGTTATTGTATCATATATCATTAAACTTTTATCAAAACATTCCGATTCCTCATCAGCTTATCCAAATATATACATATATAATGTTATAATGATAATTCATTTATGAGCTATAATATTTATCCAGATATCAAAAATGTTACCATAAATCGTATAATTTCATTGTTTTCAAGATACCAATGTTGCTTATCCGCACAACTATTGAAATTATTATACCGAGTAATTAATATGATTTAATATACTGGTACTGTATTCTATAAAAATGACTTTTTTATATACTTTGATGCACTTCATCTTAATAATAATTAGTTTCTACGTGTATAAATATCAAATAATAATTAAAAACTCCAATTAAAAGTTAAACAAGGACACCACTCGTGTGTATAATTATAATAACAACAATATATCAACTTAAATGTACATCGTTTAATAAGCCTACAAACAACTGAAGTCACTTTAGTGGTTTAGTACTTTGTTACCAACGTTATGTCCATAAAAATTAAAAACACATATAAAATAGTTTAACTAAAACATAATTTATAATTATGATACAGAGAGTTTGTTGAACAATTTTATTGATTTTTAGCCAGTACCCGAAGATTAGAAATTACCTAATCGAATACATTATTGTACAAATTATTATGAAAGGTTTTTGTACTATCGTACTAAACATATTAATAATTATAAAACAACGGAAGTGTAAAAGTCCATGAGTATAATGTATTTCTACAGAACATAATAAATATAATTAAATTAAATTTTCACTCACAAGTTTAAAACCGTTTGGTTTTCTGCATTCGTATCCCACACTGCAAACACAAACACATCACATACTAACTAAAATTTGGAGAAATAAAATTAAAATATAAGTGAATCGGTTTTGTTTAGTAATAATGAAAGAATAAAAATAAAAACGAAAAATTTAATTTGTATTTAAAAAAACGAATTTAAAAAAAAAAAAATCCAGTAAACACACAAATATCCACCGCTTTATTTAAATACGTTTTCAAAAACACCACGAACTAAAATTCGAAATGTGCACTATACCGCTGAACTGTACAACTGCACGTTGGTTACTAGGCCCGTATGGAGAGCGAAGTGCATTGTGCGTGACTGACTATGTTCCTCCTCTTGTGCTGGTTTATGCACCTGTCGGAGGGGCACTGAGCCGAAGACTGACGTTTAATGGTGAATTTCCACGGCGAAATCATGAGTCACTCACGGCACTCCGCATTTCGTTTTTGAATTATTATTAATTTTTATTATTGTTGACTTTTTTTTATGTCAACAGCGATTTTAATACTATACCACCCCTCTTACTCCATCAACGTGTACATGAATAATATTATTCGTGGAGATTTAATAAAATAAATAATAACGTAGTACAATAACACTTTTTATAAGCAATCAGCATTAACGGTTGTCGCGTTATTGCATCAAAAACGTATTGAATAATTGAGGTAAACGGGAGGAAAAATTGCTGAAAATTAATTTCTCGGCAAAGTCACCGGAAATAAGATTTCCGGTTAAAAACCTCCAAACAGTTATATAAAGTAATGGGAAAGTAAAGTGTGTGATATTGTTTATGGATAGGTTTACGAATATATTAATCAATAAGTTGTCTTCTAATTATAGCAGACGACGATTACTCTGTCGTAAATCAATGGGATAAAACGAAAATATGAAAATTCACGGTCGACTTTCAACCACTGGCATTTTATCTGTCCCGAGAAATAGCCACCTCCTCCGCATTTCTGAGACTTCAGCCAAAAAGCAAAAAGGACAAAGGAATTAGTACGTTATGTAAAACATTTTTCCCTGCATTTGGTTATTAACTTAGATAATTTTAACGTGAACGACGAAAAAAATATGATTTGAACTAAAAATTAAACGGTATATTTTGGACGAAATCTATAGTAAACAATGAAAATTATGAAGACTATGGAAAGGAAAGTACAAAAAAAAAAAAACATAATAATGAAATTATAAATATTTATGGTGGAATAGCATGCGTTTTGGATTAACTTGATTCGTAACTATTTTTTGACAAAAAAAAAGAGATAATGGTTTTATCTTGATGAAACCAATCGGGGTTTCCGCCGTTTACTCAATGAAAAACAATGTACGTGTCTTGTAAATGTTGACAACTTTGGATTTTGTAGGAAGTGTCAACACTTCTTTCATGATTTAGATGTATCTAAATTTAAATGCATTCTTGTTGAATGTCATTGACTAGAAACGATGTTTCGGTTTTTTCTAGTCTACAAATTATTTGCAGATAATCGATTGAAAAAAAATTAATATATCTTCTTCCTTTAAATTTGTGTAGACCAACGGTTCCAATCCATAAGTAGAGGAAAACATAGTAGTGAACCGCGGACACTAGTCGGAGGTTAAAACTAGGCATTTCAAACTTAAGATATCAACCGAGCCAAGTATATTGAATATTTTACGGTCTAATAATTTGTAGTTTTTTTTTTACGTTTCTGAGATGTATTATTTAAAAAAAAAAATTAAAAACATATTAATTACTCATCATTTGACATTTATATTCAGCCTTTAACTTTTCTATTTCGAGAGAAATTTTATTTTGCTTTTATAAAAACCCACAGCTTTATGATAATTGTCTTAATTTTTCATTTTTGTTGAATATAACAAAAAATATAAATTAATAACATAAATCGGGTCGGCGATTCCTGTATAAATGTATAGGTCGCAGCCGCGGCGTATTATCATGTGACGTCATACAGCTATCTCTCTTGAGCTCTGGTGTCTCAACAAATAGAGGAATACAAATTTTAGTACCACCGTAAGTTATATTAATTAATTATCTATTAATTGAATCAAAGTCATTATTTTTTGTTTAAAACAAAATGTTTTAATCAACATTTTTAAAACTATTTTAAAAAATGTATTTGAAACATCATCAACATTGTTTTAAACGTTTAAAACTTATGTTTAAAACATGTTTTTTATTTGTGTTTTAAATTAATTTTTAAATGTAAAGTTAATGTTACAACTATGAGATATATACTATATATCTGGACATTTAAGAATTAGGTTGTAGTAAATACTAAAAAAATAATATTAAACTATTTTAAAAATTTTAAGTTTCAAGCAGGGACGAAGCTTGGAGGAGGAAGATGGTGATGCATCTTCAAATATACATTTTTTAAAATGTGTAATTTTTGTAGTATATAATCCATTATTGACTGTTAGTTTGATATTTTTCACTTTTTTTAATTAATAATAATGTGACTCAATTTTCCCCAGGCATAAAAATGTTTAGTTCAGTCTCTGATCACGAGTTATTACTATGAGTAATTAAAGTTTAAGTTTAATTAAATTTAAGTTATACACTCAATACATAAGACACAAGTAATTGCTAGTAGTTATACAACAATCTCAATTACTAATAAAGTGTTAGACGAAAACGATAGTTTTTAATCGTGTAGCCACGATGCCGCGTCGGTGTATTGAAACCTTTGGTATACCGTATTACCACAGTTTAAATTATTAGCATGATTAAAGATATAATTTTCAAATTATATCTTATTAAAGATATCTTTAATCATGATTATTAGTATATTAAAAAAAAAAAAAAAAACATAACAACTTTAAACATAATAGTATTTTAAGATTTAGCGGATCTCAACGTTTTTTTTTTCTTACCACAATAATAAAAGGTTGAGAACCGCTAGTGTAGATCAGTGGTTCCCAAAATTTTGAGCATGAAACCCTTAGGAAATATATTGTTTTTCGTGGAGCTCCAATGTCACTAACTCCAACTTAACCCCAATTTTTAAATTATTTATTAAAAAATCAATATTCCAAAAATGTTTTAAAGATGGTTCATGATTATTATTTATTACAATTACACTCTCAACAGTAATGCCGAACACTTACTCCAGATAGGTAAATTCAACTGCCTTGAAAATTGGAATATTAAAAAAGCATAAAAATTATCTTTAAAAATTATTTAATTACATTTTTATATATATAACTTGACAAGTACCATATTTTCTATTTAAAATAGTATATTAAATAATTAAATATTATATAATATCTTTAATTATTAAAGATGTTTTAAAAATTTTTTTTGTTATTTGAATGAGTGGTAAATCGGAAGGAGAGGGTGAGTAAATTTAATTAATTGAACTGGCAGTTTAATTTCATTCGGCGCCACTGACTCCCAATACTTACATAGATCTGTTAGAACCCTTAGGTTCCACGAAACACACTTTGAGAATAGTTGGTATATATTATAAATAGAATAACTACCTAGTAGTTAACACCCTTATACCATTGATTTTATAACAGAAAATTATAATCATACAATAATAAATAATTGTTTATACTAAAATATTACCATTATGGCGATCGAAAATGGACCGTTATTAAGGGATTGAGTATAGGCAATATGTTATATTCATTGAGAATTGCTGTGTGAGTGTGTGTGTAGTGACTGATCATTAGTGTACGTGAGTTCCCCGAACGCGTAATTATTACGTTATATCAGTAAACAGTTCAACAATAATTTTATTACTTTGCTTTGTAGGTGGGACTTTCGGTCCTTTTGCCGAGTTTCAGGGCTGTCGGCAGGAATGGGAAAGTATTGGTATCTGAAACATGTGTTCAAAATTTTTGTCAAAACCAGCAAGGTCTTGTTCAAGAAGAGTCGGAGAGCCGTGTTGGATATACCGTCTGGACTGGGTGCTTTGTTCCGTGGTAGACGCTTGATAATGAGCTGCACTTCTCCTGGAGATACTGGTTGGATTCGAGACTTGGCTGCCAAGTGTAGAGTTCGTATTGAGCGAGTGACCAGCTCGTTTGTGAATGTAGTTCTTTCAGGAAAGGAAAATTAGGCTGCTAAGTTTGCGGCGAAGAGTTCTGCTTTGCTAGAGGAGTCATAGACTGGACTCTGTAGACTATTTATCGAGCGATCAGGAAGTCTTCTATTTATCAGGGATTTGTTAGGTTTATAGAATTTTGAGTCTCATGGTCTAAGGCTGGCAAGATAGGTGGTCCATTCGGATTGTCTATGTTGGTGCATTAGCAGAGGCGGATTTATCTTTTTTACGGCTATAGGCACCAAAAATTTGCCGCTCCTATAAAAGGTAAAAAAGTTACAATACCCCTCCAAAATACCTACTCTAAATATTTAATATATAGACAATAGTAGTGGACATCCATTTTAATTTTTAGACTATTTTTTTCGCCTGAAGTTATTTAGCCTACTTTGAAAAAAATGTCAATGGTTGTTCACTGAATTTGAATAAAAACCTACAAAATAAAATAAAATATATAGTATTATCAAAAACTGCTTTCTATATAATTGTTTACTATAATATTTATAGGTAATGACTATAAATTAAAATGAACCAAAATAGATTGGTATACTGAATATCATATACGATGTACTATATGTTTGATCGTTTGATGTTTTTTAATAAAACACTACAAAATTTGCCGTCCCCCAAATTTTGCCACCCTAGGCAGCTGCCTACAATGCCTAATGGGAAATCCGCCTCTGTGCATTAGGTTTTTGACCACCGATGACTGTTTGTTGAAGTGGTGTTTGGCTTTAGGTTTTCTGGTGCTTTATCATGTTTTCCTGAGTTTGCGTTTTTCGGCGATTTCGCTTCGGATGTTGGCTGGCAAGGCGATTTTTGTCAGCTGACTGTCGAAAATGGAGGTGCTTTTGGTCATGGTTGTTTTACGAGAGTTGTGAAGTCGCCGACTGCTCAATCGAGTTTGGCGATTGAATTTATGACTGGATTAGGGCTGAGAATGGTGCAGTGGAGATCCACGGCGAATCTGGGCCAGTTTGTTGTTGATTTCGTCATCACTGGTGAGTTCGATGAAGGTTTGCCATGCAGGGTTAGGACAACCAGGCTGTGGTCCGAAGATATATTGTCGGTGAAATTGTCTATTTCGTATGTGAAATAGATTTTGTTTAGAATTGCAATATCCAGAACGTCTGGTAGATAGTTTTGTTGGTCAGGGATATGAGTCGGAGAATCGGGTGTGACGATAATGTAGTCACGGTGATTCATGTGCTTTCTGAGAGCTAGGCCAGATTGGTTGGCCATTTTGCTGTTCCACGTTGGGAATTTGCAGTTGAGGTCTCCCGCGATGATGATCAGAAGATTTGTGTCCAGTAGTTTGCGTTTGGAGTGTTGTTTTCGTTTTTTTGTAAACAGCTGAAAACATAATTTCGTGGTGGTTGATTTAGATTTAGACAGTGGTGTTCTTGATAGAGTTTGTCAGGGTGGTAGTTTCATAGTGGATGAGCCTGTTGAACACTAGGATGGCCGTTCCTCCAGAGCCCTTTTGATGGGTAGTGTTGCGCGGTCGTTCCGGTAGATATGGTAGTTTGGAAGTTTGAAAACAGTTATCGGTTTGAGGTAGATTTCGTTGAGTAGGATGATGTGGATTTTGTGGTGTTGTACAAATTGGAGAAGTTCTAATTTTTAATTGCCTAGGCTTTGGCAATTTCAGTAGAGAATTTTAAATTGTTCAGTCATTTTGGTTAATGAGTGAGACTATGACTGAGATGGCCAGAAGGATGGTGTTTTTGAAGTTTGATGAAGTCGCAATTTGGTTGATCGCGAGGTTCAGGATTTCTATTACATCCGAGTTTGTCTTATTTGTGTTCATGGCAGGAGTTTGAGCAGTTTTTGGTGATAAACAGACTTGGGCGTATGTTTGCAACGTAGGTTGTATGACTGAAGCTTGATGTGTAGAGGGTGTTTTCTCTTCAGAGAGGCTGCTTTGGTGTCGGCAGGACACTTACGGTAGTTGGCCGTGTGTTCTTCGTTGCAGTTGTAGCATCTGAATGATTGGTCGGGAATCTTAGTGCAGGACTTGGTGGTGTTGTTGTCACCGCATTTTACACAGCGGGCAGAGTGATTGCAGTGCGATGAGGAGTGGCCGAATCCCTGGCAGGCAAAGCACTGGGCTGGGCCGGTAGTTTTGTACGGCTCAACTTTGATATGGACGTAGAATAAAGAGTCAAGGTTGAAGATTTCTTTTCTGTCCGTGGTGCATGGTAAAGTGACCATGTACATTGGTAGTTTCCTGCCCTCCTTGAGGAATTGTCGTACGAGGATTTAATTCAAGTATTTCTAAGTTCATTTTTACTTCATCTTCGTGGTAGAAGTTTGGAATGTCTCACAGCAAAACTTTGAGGGTCCTCTCGGATGGAAGTGAGAATGTGTGGTAGTTGATGTTGAGTTCGGCAAGGGTTCGCTAGACATCCCGGAAGATGACTACTGACACAGGCTTGAAGGTGGAACGAGTTGTTGGAGAAAGTAACACGTAGTTGTTCGCTTTTATATTTAGGCATGATTTTTGGAGCACTGGTTTTCCATTGGTCTGGATTGAGTATGATGGTAGGTATTTTTGTTTTAGATTCCTTTATAGAATCATTGGAAGTGTTTAGAACGTCTTCTGAAGTTTTGATTGATTCCGGTGAGAAAAGTGTATAGCTAAAGCAGTCTTCGGTGTTGATTGAATCAGAGAAAGGTAGTGATTCTGAAGAAGGTGTTGGTGACTTGAGTTCTGGCTGCTGGAGTCTAGGATGAGTTGGAGCTTCATGGGAATAGGTGAGTTCCCCGTATTCTTGTGTTTTTTTGCCGCCGCGATGGTTTTCCATAGCGATGGTAGATAGTATAATGCTGACGCCGTTGATCAAAAATTCACTTCGGTGAGATGACTGCAGTAATGTCCGATAAAAATTGATTGTGTGTGTTGTTCGTCAATGTAATGGACGAATATTGATATATGTGATATTTTATTACTGTTACTGCACGCATTGTATTGTATCTTTGTCCAGTATTTACAACTGCCTGTAACCACTGCTGTATTTAAGTACACTGACGAAGAATTATTACATTCAGTTGTTATGACTTCTAATTTGTTACACATCGTACACTTAAAAATAAAATCGGTATAAAAACCATTTTTTTTTTCATTTATTAAAGTAAGATCTTTAAATGAGCAGCCAAAAAGTGAGTGGTTGATTTTCTGAATGGAATCAAATAAATGATTCATATTCACAATACGTCTACCGCCACAAATGAACCTAGTGAAAAGAAATTAGGAAAGTATATTATATGAAATGCAGTCTTTAAAGTATTCGAATATAAGTATTTGAATAATTTTTGTATTATTTATATGGTAATTTAAATACTTGTATTAAAATACCATAAAGTCCGTTTTATTAATTTTAATTTATTATTTTTCAAAAAAAAAAAATTGACATCAATAAAAATATTATTATTTTTGTTGAAAACTATTATGTTTTTGTATAGTAAAAGTGGGTAATAACAATGTTACCACACTAAATACCACATTAAATTTTATATAGTTTCTGTATTGGAATTTTTTAAGAAAACTGAAAATCTAATAATTTTAAAATAGTTCCATAATAAGTTAATACGACTTTTTATTTTATTTTTTTCGTTAAAATTTAATCAATATTTGTTGAAATATACTGTTGTCGATAAGTTTTACGTACAATACTTATAAAAAAAAAATCGAGCGTAAGTCAATTAAAAAATTTTTACGAGCGTTTAAATTTTCAATTTTTACGAGTCTAAATTCACATCCGCATTACACTCTTGACCGAGGCCCACTCCACCCTACTGTTCGTCTGTACAGCAGAGCGAGTTCCGATATTTACTTTTGACCACCAACTAGATTCACTTCACAGCCAGAAACCACAAAAAAATGTACACATATAAACTGAATAATATTTTATTAGCAGCTGTATCATTATTATTATTCTACTGCTATAATACTATGTAATCGATTTCTTATCGTCCGTATAATAGTCACGGCTACGATTCTCGGAAATCCGTACAGCGTATCTACGCACAGTCATACGTCACTATATTTTGCAATTGAAATTGTTTCAACTCCTATGCAGTTATGAAAGTCCCAAAAAGCGGAAGAAATATTCATCTAGTACCAAAAGCCCGATTTTAATTTTGAAAACACATTTAAATTCATTATTCTGTTTTCTAGGTTATGTAGGAAATGGATTTTCGATTTTTTTTCTATTGTTTAATTATTATAGTACCTACCAAATTAATTTTCTTTTTTTTCCAAAATTCACTTTTACTTTATTGTTACTAAAAAACATAAAATAAAAAATTAATTTTCTACATAACACAGACAAGGAGTAAAAAAATCCAAACATTTTTTCAAAATAAAAATTGAACTTCTGGAAGTGTATTTTTTTTTCTTTAGTTCATTGGTCTAAATGCACGAAAAAACAACTCACTTTCAACGGCCTTATACTTTTAAAATTCTAAATATTGCTTATATAGAGTCCCTTAAAAGAAGAATTTCATACAAAAAGGAATAAAACGTTTACTTGTTGGGTCGTGACAGAACATATTAAAGTTTTATTAAATGTATGTCTAGTTACACTGTAGGTAAAACTTATTTTTCAAAATCATTGAACATTTGAACTTGAACGATTATTACATGATCTATAGTACAGAGCATAACTCAGAGTTTAAAATATACAAAATCCATAATTTATCATACTTATCAAATATTCTTATTTTAAAATATCGAAGGTTTAAAATTTCAATGATGACTGAATTTGATTGTTTTAAAACGTACAAAAGTTATGTTATTTTATTTTATTTTGGATGAACATTCAAATATTGTGATCACGAAGAGGTAACGTAGGAACGAATTAAATAGTGAAATCGTTAATACAAAGAAAAAAATGTAATAAATATAATTAGATTTTATAAAATAAATTTAACAATTCTGATTACCGTATAGAAAAACACAAATATAAATGTATAAACCGACATATTCTACGATTTTTTTATACCTCTCCCGCCTACACACACCATTGGTCAAATGATCGGCGGGTGGATTTGGTCGCTTACCTATCTATTGCTCACATTAACTTCCTAGTTGATAAATTAACGATTTACAATCTATAAAATTTATATCATAACTATTTTTAACGTTAATTTTTAAAGATAATATTTAAAAGCTATAAAATGCCAAAATCTACAATGGCGGACATTTCCGATCCGATCAGAAGGGTGGTGACTTTTTATCTGATTTAAACAAAGCTTCGGGTTTTAACTTTTTACCGAGTTTCATGTCTTGAAAATTTATTGCAATCCAAAGACTCTGCTTAGACAATTGTTCTGTGCATAGACTGGGCTGTAAATATACATGTGATAAAAATCTTCGAGTGATAAGAATATATAACATGAGTGATATAACACAAATAATCACCATTGTAAGACTCGTCGAGTAGAAATGAAACAAAAAATTAAATCGATTATGTTTATGAAACATCGTCGTTTAAATACTAATCAAATACAAACAATTCACGTACACAAACGTTTTTTCCATTAGCACTAGACACATATTTATTTAAAATTTAGTAGACAATTTCACAAACTTCGATTAATTATTATTAAATTAAACTTACTCAATAATTTGTTTATTATATTCAAGTTGAACTGATGTTTGTTTAATGTATTGCTGAAGGACCCATGATTTAAATCAAAAAACATTTTGAGGAAAATCTGTTTTATATTTAAATGACTGTGACGTAACTTTCACAAAAATAGCAATGTTATCAGAAATTAATGCAGCCATCAAACAAAATAATTTTCAACAAGTGAAAATTTTAGTCGAAGCTATTAACGAAGAAGTGAGTTATACTTATGCGGTGTCCCAAAATCAATAATATTGATATAATATATTTGTAATTTTTATAGCACAAGAATACATTTAATTTTAATTCCTTTCATGCGAATAATACATTCAAAGAATTATGGGAGTGTATGTTTCTATGCTTGACAGTGGACAGCAGTAAAAGCATATATAAACAATGTTTAACCTGCATCCGACTTCTAAGGTAAGCCGTTTGATCATTTTATAACATTAAAATAATTCATGATCTTGTTCAATCATAATGGACAAAATAATAAATATTGTTGTTCTACTTTTTGTAAAGAATATAGATATCAAACTATAATCACAAGCTCCTTTGAAACTATGAGTATTAGAGTTTATTTTGTTTTTTTATTTCTTTCACTTATTTTATTTTTAGAAATTATTGTCTAAATATTATTGATTTTTAACATCAATCATTTTAAGATAGGTAGTACATAGTTAATTATTTATATCTTTCAGTAGTCATAATTTTCATTGTGATTTCCAGCCGAGACAAAACACATTTAAATGAAATCATTACAGAAAATCATGTAAACATTCTACTTCAGTGCGCCAATCTTGTAGAAGACTCACTGTGCATACTAATAACAACTGAAAATACTGATGGTAAGTTTCTACAAATATCCCTTTTTATCCAAATTAGATAAAAAACATAATTTAAATTATTTAACTACTGCCAAAAAATATATCTAATGTATTTTGTAGAGATATTTATAATATGATTGAAAATAAATCTTAGCATCATATATTTTAAAATATTAAATGAATATGTATTTTGGTATTATAATTGCAAGATAACTATTATTTATTATTCTTTTTCGTAGTTATCGTAGAAGGCCTGAAATGTCTGTGTAACATAGTTTATAACTGTAATGTTGCGCAAGAAGTGTGCTGTTCTAATAAGACAGTTGACTGTATTATACTCAGACTAAGAACATATTTTGAACAGAATATTCCTTACGTCATTAAGTATTTTGATATCAAACTTTTATTCCTTCTTACAGCATTTAACAAAAATATAAGGTAGGATTTCAATTTACATTGAATTTATTTCCAATATATTTATATGATCTTAAAATCTAGAATAAAAATCACAAAAGAGTTACATGGGCTTACATATCTTATGGAAGTCTTGGACAATATATTACGTGAGACCATCGAAGATGCTTCTAAAAACAATCCATCTAATTTACAAGTATGTAATTTTATCTTCTTACTTCCTACTTAATACATATAATGTGTAATATATGTAAGTATGAATACAATAAAGATAATATTTACAGGAAGAAAATGTTTCACTTAGCTGTGAAATACTGAAAACATTATTTAATTTGACTGTAATTCCAAACAATGAAACACCTGAGGAAGATGATTATTCCATTTGGATTAGACTGATTTCTATATTACGCGATTTACTTGTCACTTCAACTTTTGTTCCATCATTTCAAGATAACATTGTTTGGTAATTAAAATATAATCAACATTTTACCTTTATTTTATTATATATTATCTTAAATCAATTATTTATCATTTTAGCAATGTTGTAAACTTGTTGACAAATGTTCCACCAACTTGTTTAGATCAGTTGTTGATTAAAAGTCATTGGTGTGATGTTGATGCTTTAAAAGTGATTTTAAATTTTCTTGATGATAGATTGTCTAATACAGAGGTATGCTACTGTGTTGTTTGATATTAGTTAAAATTACAATTTATCAGCTATTGTATTAGATATTCATTAACATAAATTGATTTATTAAATTGCTATTAGAATCCTTTGTATGAAAATATTTCACCAGTACTGATGGTTCTATTAAAAGGATCAAGATCTATTGCAAAATTTCGTTGTGAAGTTCGGCAGCAAATTTTACCTCCCTTAAAAGATGTTATTAATCGCCCTGAACAGGGAAATACATTGCGTAATAAATTGTGCCGTTTGCTTACCATTCCTAATGTGAGTCTACGAGACTTGGTTGCCGAATTGCTATTTGTTTTATGCAAAGAAAATGGTATTACATTATAATATTACTTGATTGTGTATAAAATAATGGTAATATGAAATATGATTTTTAGTGGGTCGTATGATTAAGTACACTGGGTTCGGTAATGCAGCCGGTTTGTTTGCAAATCGAGGATTACTTTGCAAAACATCAAATCCGGATTACTCGTCAGACAGTGAAGATAGTGATACTGAAGAATACCTAAGATACAAAGACCAGTAATTTTTTAATGTTTTGGCATCAGTGTTTAATAATTATAATTTATAACTGCTTTTTATTTAGAATAAATCCGGTTCTTGGTTGCTACGAACCACCCAAACCTAATCCATTCGAGTGCATGTCTGTTGAACAACAAGAACACGAAGTTATGCAATTAGTTTCTAAAATGGACAAACTTACCAGGTACCTATTTTATTATAATAATTACTTATACTTATACTGTAAATACTATTTTTGTTTTAGAGAGGGAGTGATACAACCATGTAAAATTGGTGATGATGGTCGCCCACAACCTATTGAGCATGTTCTTCAACTTCAAGAAGAATTAATGAACCATTTTAGTAACATCAAGAATAAAGATGGCCTAGACGATGAAAGCAATTGAGTCATGATTATATAATATATAATGTATACTTTTATTCGTAGAATATTTTAGTAAAACTTTTTACTCAATGAATATTTTTAAAAAATTCACTAGTCTTGAAATAGATTAATAAATTATTAATCATTCTGAGGTATTTTAATGAGACTGTTTAGGTTTCCAATAATATTATTAAATTCTTAACAATTAAAAATCAAGTCATTCAATTCTGCCATCTAGTACATAGTTAAATAACACAAAACTAATTAATATATTCAAGATCTTATTAGGCATATTTTTTTTGGTTATAAAGTATATTAAGTGAATATGTACATTACCATTGTATTACCATGATATTATATACTCACTCTTAATTTTTAATCTTTAACAAAAAAAATATATTTATCAATTTATTTTAATTATATTCACCTATTATGCAACTGATATAAAAATATTTAAATGTATTAGATTTAAATGCTCAGTAAATATATATTGTAAAAAGAAATGAACTTTTCATTACATTCTTTATTATTACTGTGCACTCAACGGAGTAATATTTTTTATTTTGTTTATTTTAAGTATCATTTTAGAGTATCTAGTCACACAAAGCTTTATTTAATTTCATTTTACTTAACATTCTACAGGGTTCACTTCAATACATAAAAACTAATTTAATTATAAACAATACATTATATAATTTACATCAATGATTTTCCAAAATATAAAAATAGTTTTCACTAATTGTGTTTTATATTTAAATGCAACCATTTAATATGTTATTTTTAGTCTATTATTTTATTATAATTGATAATAAAACACATCAACTTCGAGTACACTTAATAATCATTAAATATACATAATATTTTATCCTTCGAAAATTTTAATGAATCAGTAAAATATAAATTCCAATCAGTGGTAGTTAAGTACACTAATCTAATATAAATAAACCATTCCTACTGAATACTACCCTATGGCTACAGGCCATAGCATTTAATACTGTAAAATAGGGGGTAGGAGCAAGTGGTAGGAATAAACTTGATTGAATAAAAAATAATTCAGAGAAATTTCTCATTTCTAATTATAGTAATTAAACTAAAATATAAATTTAATAAAACAGAAAATAAAAACATCATGAAATTAATATTTTAATGTCCTGTTTTATAAAGTGAATTTTCTATTAAAATACTTGAATATTAAAAATGTTAAATAAGCACTCGTAATTCAACAAAAAATAAAAGACATTCTTTAATGTAAATATAGTTTTATTTAAATATGTGTATGAAGTGAATAACACACAATTATCAATTAACAATATTACTAACAATATAACCTAATGTGCTATGATATAAACTTACAGAATTTAGTTATTGGTCTTTCAATGATATTATGTTTTCATAACTAGATGAATTATTGATTTCGACTTCTGGCCAATTATCTAAATAGTTAGAACTTGGATGACGATAATTATACTTCATATAATTTGGTGTATCTTTACATATAGACATGTATTCTTCACAAATTCGACCAAATTCAGTGACTGTTAATTGAAATGGTCTTGTAGTCGGCTCAATTGCTGCAGCAAGTAATAATTCACTAGCAAGTTTTTCTCTTACTGGTTTTGGAAATAAAGTTCTAGGAAAGATAACAACAAATATAGCACAATAACAGTTAAATATTTTTGAAATAGTTTTACTTACTCAATGCCTCGAATACAATGTTTTTGTCTATAATTAAACACACTCCTAACAACTTTTTCAACAATACCAAATGGCAAAGAAATAGTTGGTTTTTTCAAAGGTGTAAGACGCACAACGCCCACATCAACATCAGGTTTAGGGATAAACGCTCGACCTTAAATAAAATATCAATTAATAAGTATTTGATTAATGCAAAATAGTAAATATAATCAACAATTCTTAAAAATCAGTACCACTAACATGAAATTGATATTTATTTATTTATTTGATAATTATACGCTTAAAGGAGAATATTAATTGGCAATGCCGCATAAAATATTCTATGCTCAATCATTTTTCACCAGTTCCATATACCTATCATAACTCAAGAAATTTAGAAATCAGTCCGAGTAGTATAGTTAAAAAAATTTTAAAGTGTTTATTGTTGTTATATGTTATAGATCTTCAGTAAAAAAATATTTTTTGAAATTCAATTTTTACTATACAAAATATAAGTGCTTATTTTATTTTCTGAACACAGCAAAACATAATATTTTAGTTTAATATTACCTATGGATATCAAAAGCCAATAGAATTTACCAAATTTGAAGTTAAATTATTATATTCTGTTAAAGAACTATAAATTAAATTAGTAATGCAATAGAATCCTATAATGGTTTTACCTTGAATATTAAACTTATGTTCAACTCTACACCAATTTTGACACATTATTGAAAGCCTGCTTCTTTCTTGAGACATTATTGGAGCAACCATTCTTTCAGCAACTTCTTTTTGAAATGTTAATGTCATTCGCACTCGTCCATATCTCCATGCACTTTTTCTAAAAATGATTCATAGCTCAAAATAAACTCGTAGGAAAAAAATGTACCCACTTACTTTTCAGATATAGCTTTTAACCATTGTATAATAAGTGGTGTAGATACATTGAAAGGTAAATTTCCAATAAGATGAATTTTTGGACATTTATCTTCCCATTCCATTTTGTAATCTTCATTGAATATTTGTTCGAAATTAAAATTCATCACATCACCAAATATCAATTCTAATGGCATTGGAGATGATTCAGCTAACAGCTAGAAAAAATTATAGCTTATAGACAAAATAAAAGATCTATTTAAAATAATTACTTCTAGAGAAGGTGTGAATCGTTTATCTTTTTCAATCACTAATACTCTAGAGGGCATATTTTGAATAATAGATCTAGTTATATTGCCTGGACCAGGACCAACTTCACATACTTCACAATCCTGGAGCGATCCAGCAGATCTTACAATACGGCTGACTAATCGTGGATCCATTAAAAAGTTCTGAGAAAGTTCTTTCATAGCACGTAATTTATATAACTTAATTAAATCCCTGATACTAGGCAAGGGGGGTAGCCGAATTATACGGCTTGATGACATTTTGAGTTATGAATTATTATTGCTTAAGAGGTATTACTTCAGGTTCATCAAAATCGTCCAAGAATGTTTCTTGTTTTATTGAATAAATAGAATATCCGTAAATGCTCAATGCGATACCACCAAGTAACAATCCAGTAAAGCGTGCGTTTTTACGCATACGTTGTAACCTAGTTACACGTATTAAATTTTGACGTTCAACAAATTTAATCTGTTGCAATATTCTTTTATCAACTTCACCTTGTTTATTGAAATCTACAGTAGGCATTTGATCATTTCCGGCCATAGCAAATTGAATGTATCACGTCACTCAATAACTGCAAAATATAAATATGAAATTAGTTACCCTTAAATTTTATATAAGGTTTATTTGTTTGAAAAAATGATACAAGTTGGCTTTTGGCTAATAATTTGTTTTTATAGCATAAATACTGAGTGTAATATTTAGTTTCAGTACTTCATGAGTACTTTTAATTAAGAACACCTAATGATATATACCCAGGTTTGCATAGGCTGTTAAAGTTTAATCAATTACATAACTATTATCATATTTTAAACAATAATCAAAGTATCTCTAGGATTTTTTTTTTGATGAAAAATACTTTCCCTGTTTTGATACTATAGGTAAGTTAATTGGTTAACAATTATATTTTATATTTGAATAAACTAAAAAGGTACATATATGTTTAAAATTTGTATTTAGTATGACAAAACATAAAAGTAATGCAATTCAACGTAAGTAGATGGTTGCGTAAAATCACGCAATGTTATTAGAAGAAACGTTTTTTTAATGACAGTTGGCCTCGGAGTACAAACAAGATTGAAAATGCAAAAATTGCTAATAAACGAAACGTGTTAAGGGAAATGATCGAATTCTTAGATAAACTACAAAAACTCCACAATCGTAAACGAACAATTTTTAACCATTTTTCGGAAGCCTCGTCTCGCAGTCGGTCTACTATTGTCTGCTTCGGCCTAACCTGATCCCACCACAATCGTCGGGACGTTGGTCGGTCACAGGCACTCACCAGCACTGTTGCACACGGATGAGACGTCAATGTTGAACCGATGGACACTGCGTGAGGTTAGACTAGCCTATGCTGAGCCGGCGAGAAGGACCGGAGGATACGGAAAAAACGTTGAAAACGTTTTAACTGAATCTCGTACAACCGTCGTTCTTGCAGTAGATTACGGTCTCTGTTTGAACTGCAGCGAATGCGTACGATGCACGATGTTATAGATAACAAAATTAAAATATTATATTATCAATGGTCTTCTTAACGTTTGTCGATCAGTATTGATAACGGTCCGCATGGATCGCTTAGGCAAAGAGGATATAAACGTTTTTTCTTTGAAAAATATGTATTCGAATACTTAATATTTACAGCGATATTGTCCATCAATACTTCCTAAAGCTGAGGCCAGAAAATGCTACGTGTGTTTAGGGATGTGGTGTCGAAAGAAAAGTATCGATACTTTTGCTTGGTATAGAATCGAATGAAAATACCGATATGAATAAAATATCGCAACGAAAGGACCGATATGAGTAAGTATCAATAGAAAAGTATCGATACTTTAACTTGGTATCGAATCGAATGAAAGTATCGAAACGAAAGGACCAACATGAATAAGTATCGAAAGAAAAGTATTGATCATTTTACTTCGTCATATCGTCGTATAGAACCGAATTAAAATAATGATAAGAGTCAAATATAAAAACGACCGATATGAATAATCGTTCCGCTTGAGAGGAAACCTATTGACGCTATTGCGGCGGTTCCCAAAGTGTGCGCCCCGGCTCCCTGGTGTGCCGCGATGTCTGTACAGGGGCTTCGCGCCGTCATGAAATACTATCTGGTCTAAAATTTTCCTTATGATTATTCATGTTATGACTTGGGGAAGGGTGCCCTGAAAAAACCTAAAATCAAAAAGGGCGCCGTGAGTCGAAAAAGTTTAGAAAGCACTGCGCTATTGTATTGTAGACTGTGGTTTCTGGTTACAAAATTATCATATTTATACCATTGAAAATGAAAAGTTAAAAATGAAAAATGTTTACCTGGCTTCCTAAACAATTTTGATTTTGGTAGATGATAAAAATATCACAGTTCTGAAAAGAAACAGGAAATATTGAATTAAAATACTAATAATTGCATATTAAATTAAAGTATTTATATAAATTTTATATATTTATTTAAAATTTTTAAACTTGATTTATAAATAGTAAAATATAAAGATTTAATCGAAATATTTAATTAGATTTTAAAATATTTTAAGTAAGATACAAAATTACCATATTTATACCATTAAAAATGAAATGAAAAATGAAAAAGGGATCCCCGGCCCCCGAGGGAATTTTGATTTAGGCAGGTGAAAAAAAAATCCCAGTTCTGAAAAAAAACATAAAAAAAAATTGAATAACCTATATAAAGTTTCGTCAAATAGACGTTTGAGAAGTAGAGGGTTCACTGTATATTTAAATACATTCCAATAATACAATTTCGTATTAAATTTTAATTTGGTATCCTATTTAGTCGTTTCTCAATATCTAATTCTAACTCATATCTGACTCAGTTATGTAAATAGTCCAATTTTTTTTTTTTTTTTATTATCTGGTTCTTACTATAATAGTTGTATTACGCACCATAAAACTATAGCAACATAGATTGTATTATAGACGCTTTCAACCAAAACGTTTTAGTTTGTCATTATCGACTAGCATTTGTTAAAGACAATATTTTTGTTAATATTTTTTGACGCTATAAAAAGTGTTTTTATAAAACAGCAAGATAATTGACTTTGCAAGTGTTCTCTTAGTGGACATTAATATATTGAAATAAATAGCAACATGGACAAAACAAGTGCAGTTGTTGAAGATATTGAGTTTATTGGAAGTGAATTTGTGTCAAAATACTTTGATGCATTGGCGGGAATGCCGAATTCATCGGCCTTACGTAAGTTCTTTCATGAAAATTCAATTTATGTATTTGCACAACATGGACGTCCCGATCACGAGATACAGGGCCTATCTCTCATCGAATGGTTCGTGAAACGAATGAAATACAGTGAATGTACGGTAACGGTCCGCTCGGTGAACACCACAGCAAGAGCACATTCGACTGAGTTCACAGTTTCATCAATCTGCGAACTATTGCGCCCCGAAAATAATGTCCCTTTGAATTTTGTTCAGACGTTTGCTATCAAACGCGTTGCATGGACCCAAAAAGATTTTCAGATTATCGAGACTGTATCTAAATTTGAAGATGAAATAGAGGACGACTTTCTTCCAAAAGCCGTTTCTATACCAATTATAGCTTGTACGAATGTAGTGAAGAAAAAAGTAAAAGCTATCAATTATATTCTTTGGTTATCACCTGTCGACAAAGGTACTGCGGTTGGTGATGAAACTATAGAATCGAGTTTAAAACGAACAAGCAATTCCAAAAAAATCATTAACTTGGAGGCAGTTGTCGATATGGAAGTTGCAGGAACATCTCAGACTATATCCATGTCAACAGATTGTGATGGAAATATGAAAAATTCCAACGAAAAAACGTGTTCAATTTATTCCAATTCAAAAATTGTACAAAAATTAACCAACAAGAAACCCATTACAGTTGGTAGTAAATTGAGTAATAAACTCGATCATGATAGAGAAATGATTTTAAAGGAGAAGGTAGTTGAAAATCCAACGACAGAGCTGCAATTCACCGTGAAAAATGCACCAAATGGTAAGATTTCGTTTAAAATTATTCAAAATTGTATAAGCATAATTCCTATGAAACTATAAAAACGGTTGAAATGTAACGAACGAGTGAATTATATTGCTGTATTCATCTTTTGAAACTTGCAAACAATTTACATTACTCTCGAAAAAAACCATTTTCAATGATAGAGGTCAAGTAGAACAGTTTATATTTCTAACGAAGAATAATATAGTAGAAGAACCTAATTTCTTAATGAAGTAGGCTTAACTTTTAAATTAAGATTTCAGGTACCTATAATCAGCGAAAATATTACAATGTATTTTGAAATTTCTATAAAATGCTATTATAAGTAATTAGTAAATGTTTCGAGTCGCTATACTTAAGGTTTATAGAATAATAACCAAATAACTATTATTACACAATCAAAATTCATTAAAATTCCATTTTCCATTAAATTCCAGATTGACATCCCTATAGAAAATTATTTGTCGATTATAAAGAAAGTTATTTGAAAAATTTATACAATTTTTTTTTATTTACACGTAGTTTAATAGTAGGTACAATAGTACGTGATAAAAAACTAGGTGGTGCCGACTTTGAAATTCTATGGCTTATAATTTTTTCTTCGTTTTTCTCAATTATTTAGAAAATTGATGAAAAATTTAAAAAACGACTTTCTTACAGCACTAGTTTTATATACAATTATTAATCAAAAATCTTATATGATTGAATGTCGAACTTTGGATCGAACTTTGCGCTCTTAGGCACTGTTGAACACGCATTTTAAATGCCAAGTAAAAAATTGTCGAGAATGATAAACAAAGTCCTCCAAGATCTTGTTGAAAAATTGTCAATCTCTATAAATAGTTTGTATTTTGGTTGGTCTTGTTTTCCTTATTCTCTATTCATAGTCTCATAATATTTTTTTTTATTTATTGGCATGTACTGCAAACAAAAATAAAGTTCTCATTATAAATTATTTTAAATTATGATCATGGAAAAAATTTAAGTTAGTTATTATGTAAAATCAAACAAACATTTCAAAATATTAAACAATAGTAAAAAAACAACTATGTAAGTTTGATGTATCCAAATTTATAATGCCTTACGCCGTGTTTTTCAAAAAATAAGTGATCTATTATTTCATCAAACGATACTTGCCGAGTAATTCTGTTTACAATATTAAGTATGGCTAGTGAATTCATTCTATCTTAATACTTATTAGATCGTAAAAAATTTTTGTTCTTTTTGAACATGAAAAATATCGTTCTGCTGGACAATTGGTAACAGCCGTCAATGTAAAAATATGCAACATAATTTGAATATTTTGGTGAATTTCTGTGAGGTTTTTTATATACAAAAATGTTTGTAAGTCAAAGCTGAGGTTTTTCATGAAAATAATTAACGTTAGTTTCTAACTAACTAATAGTTAGTTACAACAGGTAGTCGATAACCCTAAATCCACAACATAACAGGGAAACAATAAGAGGCAACATAAAAGGTAAACGTTGAGATAATTGATTTTTAAAATTTTATTTACCGATTGTCAGGATTTTTTGACAAAACAAAAAAAAAATTGAGAATTACAATAAAAGTATTGAAACAGAAATAAAAAAAAAAGTGATGGAAAATTTTCGCACATTCCCTATATTTTGTGCCCTAGGCACCTGCCTACGTTGCCTAACCATAAATCGAACACTGATTGTGATGTTAAGAACAATCTTACCGGTCGAAATTGTGTATAGATATACACAAAAAAAATATCAATCGCTCGAAATCGAAAAAAAATAAAATATTACTGTTATTATTCCAGTTCAGCAAAAGATATTTGAAAAACAGACGATTGAAAAGAAGACAGTCTTAGCTAAAAAGTTAAAAAACGAACAATCGATTAAGCCTAAGATACTCGCTCGTGTAAATAAAAATACGTTTATTTCTACTAACCGTTTCGGGTCTCTAGCGGTGGACGACGAGCCTGATTCTTCTTCCATTATTTTAAACCCAGAAGATGATACTAAAAATCGTGAGTATATTTGCGAATTGATTTGCAGTCCTATAAATATATAAAAAACTAATAATAAACTCGGCTACAATTCAAAATAAAATTAATGTACCTCGTGTTTATCAATTATTTTTTAGCATCAAAAAACACATTAAAAAATGTTAACTGGAAATCAAAAAAATGTACGAATATTTCAAAGACAAAAAAATCACGAAAGAGTACGGCTGCAATCCTAAAGGCAACGGAACAGCCAATCGCCACAAAAAAGCTCACGACAGATAAATCGAAAAAGAATAACTTGTCTGTTGATACTGAATTGTTAGCAAGACGCAACAAGACGATCGTGCGAAAAACTGATATGAAAAAACCTGTGATTGTGAACGAAGACAGTAGAGGTCCAAGTACAAAAAATGCCGATGCTTGCAGTGTTGATGAAGAAGTGATACACAAGACTTTGTCAGTTGAAAGATTCGTGACGGTGCAACAGAAGCATAAATGTAATATTAACGGTTTCGATCTAGTGCATAGTATACGTAGGACCGTCGCCAA